TGGCGGCTGACGGGCCACAGAGCTGCTCAGACCTCCACATCTGAACCAGGACCACACCTCACCACTCCCGGATTTATGACCTCTGCAGTCCGTCCAGTCCGTCCAAGATCCGCGGGTCGGGAACACTTCCTGGTTTGACGTTAGCTGCGATTTGAATGTGGAAAAATAAAAATGATGTTAATGAATAAAAATGGTGTACGATTGATCCTGAAACTACCACAGAGAAAAGACTGTTTCATTTGGTCAGAGATTGATCAGGGGCTGGTTTCTCCTGCTTTTTTTTGGTTTTCATTCACAAGAAAAGTAGAGTAGAATTGAGTAAAGCAGGGTAAAGTAGAGTAGAGTAGAGCATAGGGTTGGTGGAAATAGGGCTAAAGTAAAGTCCACAGAGTTGGATCCGTACGCGGCTCATGGCGATCACAATAGTTCCAGTCCACTGAGCTATTGATCCAGTCCCAGTTTGTGATGTCACCGAAACACTCTGCGGTCGACGGGGGTACTCTCTCATTCTCCTGAGGGACGGCGAGTGAGAGGACACCGCCATGGAACAAGAAACTCAAACGTTAGTTGAATAGAGTAGAGAAGAGTAGAACAGAGTAGAGTAGAGTAGGGTAGAAAAGAGTAGAGTAGAGTAGAGTAGAGTAGGGTAGAGTAGAGTAGGGTAGAGTAGAGTAGGGTAGAGTAGGGTAGAGTAGAGTAGAGTAGGGTAGAGTAGGGTAGGGTAGAATAGGAGAGTAGAGTAGAGTAGGGTAGAGTAGAGTAGGGTAGAGTAGAGTAGGGTAGAGTAGAGTAGAGTAGAGTAGGGTAGGGTAGGGTAGGGTAGAGTAGAGTAGAGTAGAGTAGAGTAGAGTAAGGTAGAGTAGGGTAGAGTAGAGTAGGGTAGAGTAGGGTAGAGTAGAGTAGAGTAGGGTAGAGTAGGGTAGGGTAGAATAGGGTAGAGTAGAGTAGAGTAGGGTAGAGAAGAGTAGAGTAGGGTAGAGAAGAGTAGGGTAGAGTAGAGCAGAGCAGAGTAGAGTAGAGTAGAGTAGAGTAGAGTAGAATAGAGTAGGGTAGAGTAGGATAGAGTGTGTTTATGAAATGTGCTATTTTAATAAAGTGGATTGGACTGAAATGTTACGCAGGTGTTTTTGGAATTCCTTAAGTTACTGTCTGCGTCAAAAGCAGAGTGTGAGTCCCACAGTCTGCCGCTAGAGGGAGCCACAGCGCAGGACATCACTCTCAGACGTTTCTTTAAGCACCACATGTGTTTCCCTCGGCCTCGTGTCTGTGTTTTATAATGTAAAACTTTATAAATCTGTGAATAATTCATCGCATTTTTCTAAAAGCAGGTTCCATGATCTACACCACACACTGCGGCTCAGAGCGGCTCAGGAACGGCTCGGAGCGGCTCAGGAACGGCTCGGGAGCGGCTGTAACAGTCCTAAATCCAAAATAGCTCAGATTTGGCCAAATGTGTCTTAATTTGAGCACATTCTGACTGAGCCTTAAAACTAGATCTAATTGGACAAAGTTTTATTATTTTTGTTTTAAAAAGTCTTGGAATGAGGAAATAAATCAACAGTTTTGAATCAGACTAAATGACTTTGTCTCTTTGGAGTATTTAGTTTTACCGCAGTCAGAAAGTGTCAAATTAAGATAAAAGATACTCGGTTGAAGCCTTTATTACCTCATATTGAATCATTTTTTGCAGTGCGGGAGGGGGCGGGGGGAGGGGGGAGTGGGGGAGGAATGCGGGTCCCGGTGTGTGATGTGATTGTTAGCAGAAATGTGTCAGCTCAGAGTCAGACCCTCCACTGACCACAGGCCTGAGCCGCGGCCTCTTCAGCCCGTGCGCGTCCTCAGCCTCACGCACCGCTCCCGCCGCAGTTCAGATTATCACGGCCTAAAGTGGGACAGGGGTAAAGGGACCTGGAGGACCGTCCTGGGCCCAACGGGGCTAAAAAGACTGCAGTAATACTGCGTTAAACAAGTCTCTCCAAAGTCCATCAAAGAGCCATTTAGGTACCAACTTTGAGGAGCACAGGGACTGGCCTCCTGCTGGGACTCTGAGGAGCACAGGGACTGGCCTCCTGCTGGACTCTGAGGAGCAAAGGGACTGGCCTCCTGCTGGGACTCTGAGGAGCACAGGGACTGGCCTCCTGCTGGGACTCTGAGGAGCACAGGGACTGGCCTTCTGCTGGGACTCTGAGGAGCACAGGGACTGGCCTCCTGCTGGGACTCTGAGGAGCACAGGGACTGGCCTCCTGCTGGGACTCTGAGGAGCACAGGGATTGGCCTCCTGCTGGGACTCTGAGGAGCAGAGGGACTGGTCTCCTGCTGGGACTCTGAGGAGCACAGGGACTGGCCTCCTGCTGGGACTCTGAGGAGCACAGGGACTGGCCTCCTGCTGGGACTCTGAGGAGCAGAGGGACTGGCCTCCTGCTGGGACTCTGAGGAGCAGAGGGACTGGTCTCCTGCTGGTCCCAGAGTCAGGACTAAACAAAGACAGTGTTTCAGATTCATGCAGCTTTAATTTCAGTCTTCCTGAAAATATGAGACAAACTTCTTCTCTGACAGTGTTCAAACTGAAGGATTGTATCAAATAAACTGTGATGATGCAAAAGACCTGTGCTACATAAATAAAACTTGTTCTGAAAGAAACAAGCTCCTGATCCATGATCTATGGAAACATCTGGATCAGAAACATCAAAGGAAACAATTTTGGAAAAAAAAGATCAAAAAGAACCACTCAAACATCCACCACAAGGAGCCGTAGTCTCTGAGTTTGTTTTGTTTCGTTATTTAATAATATATGTATTAATAAATATAACAATAAATATAATATATTTATATATATATATATATATATATATATATATATATATATATATATATAATAATAAAATATATATAATAATATATATAATAAGCTTTAATATAACAATAATAATAAATATATATAATAATATATATAATAAGCTTTAATTGTTTTAAATAAAACTTTGTAAACACATTCAAACTTCAAGCAGACTCTGGAGCTCAGGCGTCACGCGCACGTGCTTTCACTCTGTTCAGACACAGCTGCTGCGCGTGCACGAATACACACACACATGTACAACCATACACAAACACACACACTTACACACACAAATGCCCACACGCACACACATGCACGTGCGCGCATACAGAAACACACATATACACATACGCACACACCAAATACTCACACACAAACACGCATGACACGCATACTCACAAACACTCACACACACACATTTTAAAGGTGCGCTTTCTTTACTAAAAACAAACGTGTCAAAGGATGTTTAAAACATCACAACATTATTATTTTTTTACTTATAACATTTTACTGATAATTACAGCCGTCTTAATTCAGCTACACACATATATATATATATATATATATATATATATATATATATATATATATATATATATATATATATATATATATATATATATATATATATATATATATATATATATATATATATATATATATATATATATATATATATATATATGTGTGTGTGTGTGTGTGTGTGTATACATATACATATTTGCAAGGTTTGTATATATATAATATATATATATATATATATATATATATATATGTGTGTGTGTGTATTATATATATATATATATATATATATATATATATATATATATATATATATATATATATATATATATATATATATATATATATATATATATATATATATATATATATATATATATATATATATATATATATATATAGATACATACATAAACCCTGTATAAGTATCAAAAGCAGATTCTGTGGGACTTAAACCCGTTCTGTTTCTGATGAGATTAAATCCAATATTTACTTCTGAAGTATTTTCATGGGAACAGACTCACAGAGTCTGTCGCTTCTCAGCAAGAAGGTCCTGGGTTCGAATACCGGTCGGAACAGGGCCTTTCTAAGTGGAGTTTGCATGTTCTCCCCATATCTGCGATGGTTTCCTCCGGGTGCTTCGGTTTCCCTATACCATTAAACACATGTACAATAGGCCTGTTGTACCTGCACTGGCCCCGCTCCATCTCTGCGTGAGAGAGACTAATGTAACTACATTTGTACAGTGTTTTGTGACTCTGTCTGAGAAAGGAGCTGTATAAATAAGATACTTCTCCAGGTAGAGGCGATAGAGAAGGAGGAGGTAGAGGAGGAGAAGGTTGAGGAGGTAGAGGAGGAGGTGGGAGCAGATTACTGAGGCTCAGGCACGGGCGCCCCACGCCCCCTCCCCGCTCTGAGGACTGAGGACTGGAGAGAACACTGAGAGTGTGAGGAGCAGAGGAGCACAGAGGAGCACAGAGGAGCAGAGGAGCAGAGGAGCACAGAGGAGCAGAGGAGCACAGAGGAGCACAGAGGAGCAGAGGAGCAGAGGAGCACAGAGGAGCACAGAGGAGGGCACATGTGACGGGGCTCTCCTCGGGGACTGCAGCCGCTGGAGGAGGCTCTCTCTCGGACTCGCCGCGGGGCCACAGACCATGGCAGAGGGCTCCGTGCTGTAGGACTCTCGTCTCTCTCTGTACCTGGTCACGGCTCGGACTGGACTCGGACTGGACTTTAGCAGCAGAAAGACCGAAAGAACCAAAGAAACTCTGGATTTAAACCTCTCGGGGCCGGACTTTTATTTGGATCAACGCGTAAAGCTGCGTCCGAGGCTGGGATTTTACTGGTAAGACGTAGGTTATTAAGAATCATACTGTTTCACGTCTTTGGGAGAGATTCTTGAGCAACTGAGAGACGTAAAACCCAGATACATATTTTGTTTTTACTTGGATCAGTTTGGAAAAGTGGACACAACCACAAAAACTAACGCGTAAAAGAGAATCCAAACAAACCTATTGCCGCTACATTCTCTCACGGGATTTGTGGTTGAATCCTGTTGTTAAAAGAAAAGAAAAATAGGCCTCGCTAACTCTCTCCTCACCCCGCAGTCTGGTCTGGACTCGGCCCGGTCCCAGTCAGCGTCATGTCGGAGCAAGAGGAAGCCTTCGGTCCGCTGCCTTCGCCCGGCGGCTCCGACTCCAAGGACGCGCAGATCGACAACAAACACGAGAAACTCAACGGGGCGAGCAAGTCCCCGTCCTCCCAGACCACCTACATCCAACAGGTCAGACACACAACCTGGTACACAACCCGCTACACAACCCGCTACACAACCCGGGCTCATGTCTTATTGACAAACACATTTTATTTCAACATAATGAGGCCAAAACTATGTGTGACTAAAGTAATCTCTGAGAGGCCTTGGAAAAACGCCATTTTACACATCACACACACATGATGGGATTAGTGTATATGTTTTGTGAATAAAGATAATTTAATTGAATAAGGCATAACATTGGCATATAATCATTTCCTATTGTCTGCTGTGTTAAGCGCACCAAGCAGCACGTTTTATCAATATGCTTAAGAATGAATTAATTAATGTGTAAATAGGGAGAATTGAATAGATTAATTTAGACCTTAACCTTAATATTATTAGGCAATTTTTCACCCCAAAATTCTGCTGTTATAATCTGCTATATGTTATAATCTGCTATATGTTATAATCTGCTATATGTTATAATCTGCTATATGTTATAATCTGCTATATGTTATAATCTGCTATATGTTATAATCTGCTATATGTTATATTCTGCCATTTGCACTAAACAGCAGGCGTTAGTCCACACACACGTCTACGTCTGTAAACGCACTTAGAATATTTTCTTGGACGTCCTAATATTCTGAATTCGAGCGTGTGTTTCAGGGAATGGAAGGAATAAAGGTGTATCTGCACGAGCGGGAGCTGTGGGTGAAGTTCCATGAAGTGGGAACAGAGATGATCATCACCAAAGCTGGAAGGTAAACATCTGGAGAAGGGAAAACGCGCGACTGTTTGTTTATAAAAGAATGTTTAAAGGCGAGTTTTGTGCCTCTTAATTACAAAATGAACTAAGATAAAGTTTGCTCTGGTTGGAGATGTGTTTAGTTCAGTCTCAGTCTCTGATGGTGATACTCTGATCTTTTATATTATTATTAAAACTTTACACAGTTTGGACCTGTTGCTTTGACCGCTACCTGTTTACATGGCGCGGGGATATAGACATAACACCGACATAACATAGAAATTGTATAGACATAATATAGAAATTATAGACATATTAGACATAATATAGAAATTGTACACCATAGACATAATGTAGACATGACATCGACATAATGTAGAGATAATATAGACATAACATAGAAATTATACAGACATACCATAGACATGATATGACATTGGATAGATATACCTAGACATAAGACATACTCATAGATACATAACGTAGACATAACATAGACATTATATAGACATACCAGAGTGGGCTCAGTTTGAGAGAAAATAGAAAAATCTAAGTTTAGACTGAGTTTAGAATGAGAGAAAATGGACCAATAGTTTCTCACGTTTTTTATGTTTTTACGCACGAGCCGCTTCGCTCAACAGGTTTTCAAACTTCACGTTTTCAGTCCAAACAGCTGGACTGGGTCTTTGTTGGAGCTTTCTCTGTGTGTGGCCGTTTGTCTCCGTGTTTGTAAAATATAGACATGTTTTTGCTTCTTTCCCAGACGCATGTTTCCCAGTTTTAAAGTGAAAGTCTCGGGACTCAACCCAAAAACCAAATATATTTTACTGATGGACGTGGTGCCCGCGGACGACCACAGATACAAGTTTGCAGACAATAAATGGTGAGTCCAATTTAGGTATTTTATTATCACTTATTGTTCGCTTTTTAGAATTGTATGTTTTATTTTTGCTGCTGCACACGTGACTTTCTGCTAAACGGGGATCAATAAAGTGTCTAAAGTAAACCATGGCGCGCGTAAATACGTCAAAGTGGTTTGACGCTAAAAACAAAAAAACAAAATAAATTATATATTTTTTGGGGGGTTTTGTGTTTTTAATGGTCTTGAAGCAACAGAACTGAGCCTGGACATTTACAAGGACTTGAAATTCACTACTAACTACAATTCTTCTATTATTACTATTATTATTATTATTATTTTTTATCATTATAATTATTATGGTCAATATTATTTACAAATGTGTTAACTCAACTAATACACTGTAAACTTCACACGTGACTTATCTTTGACCCAAGAGAAAATACAAATGTTTTGATTGACTTCATCTTAAATAATTAATGTTCAGTTTACCAATTATTGCAAACTTTACAAACAATTCTGACGATTTCAGGCAAAAATTAGGTCAAAAAAAGGTTTGAAAAATGAAAAGGTGAAACTGAAAGAGCCTGATTGTGGTGGATGCGTGTTCTGCTTATTTCTCATCTATTTTCTCCTGTATTTTCTGTTTGTTCTATATTTTATTCTATATTTTCTCTTGTCTCCTCCTATTATGTATTTTCTGTATTTTCTCCTATATTTTTTATGTCTTCTGTTTTCCTGTATATTCTATATTTTCTGTATTTTCTCCTCTCTGACATGAAGGAGATAAAATGTCTCTAATCTTATCTTTACTTTTCTTCAGTGTGAATGAAAACATGAAGCGGAGGTTTTTAGGCCGTGGCTTTGAACTTATGATTGTTTTTAGACACAGACCTGTATGAGACCCTAAACTAGACCCTGAACTAGACCCTGAACCAGACCCTGAACCAGACCCTAAACTAGACCCTGAACCAGACCCTGAGGCAGACCCTGAACCCGACCCTGAACCAGACCCTGAACCAGACCCTGAACCAGACCCTGAACCAGACCATGCTGTGTGAGGCCTGGGCTGAGCTCGGCCCGTGCCTCACGTTCCTCACGTAGAAGTTGGATTGTGTCTTTAACTCTAAGGCTCCCAGAATTCTGTAAATAGAACTCCCAGAGCAGTCATTTTGACGGCATTCTAGATTTTTCACAGATTGTATCAAATCGAAACAACTCATATGGGTTTTATCTTTGATGCTAAAACTGGTTATCGTGAATGAATCAAAGCGAAATGTAAACGTAAACGACGCAGTGTGTTGCTATGGTAACCAGCACCAGGACCGGTCTGGGACTGAGATCCATACCTTTTTAACTTTAACATGTTTCATATGTCTTTGCCAAATGTGACATTTCTCCATCAGACATAAATAAAGTCTTATCTTACTAAGATAATTCTGAAATAAAACTGCATTTAGAAAAAGTCACAATGTAAGCGAAATAACCACACACTTCCAGAATGAAAAGCTGTCAAATGGACTGCTCTGGGAGTTGTATTCCTTAGAAGTGTGTTTGTGTTTCTGACAGCTGTGTGCTCTCAGTCCTGTATATAACTGTCTCTGTCCTGTATATAACTGTCCCTGTCCCGTATATAACTGTCTCTCTCCCGTATATAACTGTCTCTGTCCTGTATATAACTGTCTCTGTCCTGTATATAACTGTCTCTGTCCTGTATATAACTGTCTCTGTCCTGTATATAACTGTCTCTGTCCTGTATATAACTGTCTCTGTCCCGTATATAACTGTCTCGCTCCTGCATATAACTGTCTCTGTCCCGTATATAACTGTCTCTGTCCTGTATATAACTGTCTCTGTCCCGTATATAACTGTCTCTCTCCTGTATATAACTGTCTCTGTCCTGTATATAACTGTCTCTGTCCTGTATATAACTGTCTCTGTCCTGTATACAACTGTCTCTGTCCCGTATATAACCGTCTCTGTCCTGTATATAACCGTCTCTGTCCCGTATATAACTGTCTCTGTCCTGTATATAACTGTCTTTGTCCCGTATATAACTGTCTCTGTCCCGTATATAACTGTCTCTGTCCCATATATAACTGTCTCTGTCCCGTATATAACTGTCTCTGTCCTGTATATAACTGTCTCTGTCCTGTATATAACTGTCTCTGTCCGGTATATAACTGTCTCTGTCCTGTATATAACTGTCTCTGTCCGGTATATAACTGTCTCTGTCCTGTATATAACCGTCTCTCTCCCGTATATAGGTCGGTAACGGGGAAGGCGGAGCCCGCGATGCCCGGGAGGCTGTACGTTCACCCGGACTCTCCGGCCACAGGCGCGCACTGGATGCGGCAGCTCGTGTCTTTTCAGAAACTCAAACTGACCAACAACCACCTGGACCCGTTCGGACACGTGAGTCCACAGCCGCAGAAACACACACACGCACAAGGAACAGTGACGTCCACAGCCGCAGCAACAAGCACAAAGAACAGTCACATCCACAGCAGTGGGGGCGGGTCCCAGCTCAAAAGTGTCCAAAATGACGTGCGCTGACATGCTGCAATACCACCCCGGGCCTGTGGGGGTGGACCCGGAATAAGAATTAGCTCTCGAAAACGTCTTTACAGGATGGACCAAAAGTTGGCTCTTGGCCCAAAGCTCCGTTCCACATGTGTGTCAATGCTGAGGGGGGTGTTCTGGACCAGTCTAGTTTAGTCGCTGTGGACTTTTGAAGTCTCTCGTTCAAATGAATGGAGCTCTCGCCGGCTGATGCATGCACAGATGCATTTTTTAACAATTTTCTTGTGGGCAGGACCACTCACGGCCATTTTGGATAGCTCCGGTAGAGCACATTTTTGGCCCATTAGTTAGAACAGCGGAGATAGGCGTGACTCTGTCCGTTAATATATACAGTCTATGGTCCACAGCCGCACAGCAACACGCATGCGCACAGTTATACTTTAATGTCGTAGTTTGGGTTTCACGTTATTTTATTCAACAAGGAAATGCATGGTCTAAACAGTACTTTTACTGTAGTATTGCGCTACTACCACTACTACTACTACAGTAGTAGTACTACAGTAGTAGTAGTAGTATACTACTACTACTACTGATACTACTACTACTATACTGTATTACTACTGCTACTACTACTAATAATAATAATAATAATAATGATAATACTTAATTATACAAAAGTATAGCGTATAGTAGTAATAGTAACACGGATGTATACGGCCTAAACAATGTTATTTCAAGATAGATAGATTATCTTAATAATTGCATATTATTCTAATGTTATGTGAAGGCGACACGCGAAGGTTTTTTTGGCTCATGTTTGGCCTCTCCGCGCCATGAGCTTCAGCCAGCTTCAGCCCGGACCCCTGCCATAATTTAACACTATAATATACTAATATAATGTAATAATATAATAATGGTTTATGACTTTCCGGGTGTTTGTTTATCAAAGTGTGGCTTGTGGGAGATTTCCTTCAATAATTAATCTGCTCATTAATCATCATTATCATCATTATTATCATTATTGCTCATTACGCCTCGTGCGCACGTTACTGTTGTTGTTCAGTATTTTTGACTCTTTAAAACACATCTTTTAGGACAGACGACATTGGTGCCGATCATTTCAAACACATGTTATTGAGTTTTTCACGATATGTAACAAATCGATTATCTGTCGATCACCCGCGTGAATCGATTCGGTCACTTATGAGACGTTGGCCCTTAGGACGCACGTACTGTAGTTTACTTACAGTAATAGTAGTAGTTGTAGCAGTAGTAGTAGTATAGTATTTCACTACTACCACGCACATACTTTAGTTTACTTTAGGAGCAGTATAGCAGTAGTGGTAGTAGTAGTATTTTACTATATTGCCACGCAGATACAAAGTATATGGTAGTACTCTTGTATTTATATAGCGCTACTACTACTACTACTTATACTACTACTATACCAAGTATAGTTTACTTATGTCTTAATACTATTTGATTTAAAGATAATCTCAAACTCAACAGGGCGTGCCTGATGTACGGCCTAAACAACGTTATTTCACTATAGTTATAAATATGATAGAGATGTGACATATATATCGATCATTATCAGTGTATACATGAACGTAAATGTGCACATCTACACACCGGGACGTTTACGTTGGATTCTGACGTTTGACGTTTGCGTCTCTTTTTGACTCTTTTTGAGAGTTTGTCTCTTTTTGAGAGTTTCCTTTGATCCGCGTCTCTCACATCTCTCTCCCACAGTCTCTTGGAGATCTCTGTTTATGTTCCGATGGTACAAGCTACTCTCCCGACGCGCGTGCACGAGTCTCAGTACTGTAGTTTAGTTTAGTTTAGTTTGGTTTGGTTTGGTTTAGTTTAGTTTAGTTTAGTTTAGTTTAGTTTGGTTTAGTTTAGTTTAGTTTGGTTTAGTAGTTTAAGAGAAGCGTCTAAAGTCTATATCTCTGTCGCACACACGCATCTGTAGAAACCCGTCATTTAGACCGCTGCCTGATGCGCGCAGTCCGTGGGTGGTCCTCAAACACCTCCAGAAGCGCTGGAGCCAAAACAGCACAAATGTATTGATTATCTGTATTTTCTGTGACGCTGATTCTAAAGTGATTCTAAAGTGATTCTGGGCCTAACGTGACTAAAGTAAAACAAAAAACACACACTTCATTCATAAAAAACAGGATTCAGATTCATTTATTTGCCTTTTTCAGTAAAACCAGAATACATTTGTAAAGTACACATTTGCGGTATTATATTATATTTCTCTGTTTCTTTTCTATGGACCAAAAACATGTGCTTATTTTATTTATTTTTTGGCATTTCCGGTCTAAACTGTTTTTTATTCTCTGATCTGTGTAAAGTCTGTTATGATTTAGGACTCAACAAAAACAATTGAATGGAATAGAATTTAAGAATGGCGAACGTGTGTTTATTATAATGTATTTATCCATCGACGTTTAAATAGACATTTTATTACGGCTCTTAAAATAATGTAACTCGTTTGATCTTCAAATAAATTCTACCGCGGTATTTTACATGCCTTTTTTTCACGCAGCTTTTTAACGCTTTTAAACTCACTTTTTCTGCTTTGCACGTGAGTTTTGTCAAGTTTGTCGCTGCAGGAAAACAACTTCTGGTCATAACTTTCAACTGTTTTTGCAAAAATACAGAATGTGAATCCGCGCATGCGTACAGAATACTGTCTATTTCAACCTTTTATTTCCTCAACGTATTTCTGAAACATTAAATGAGCTTTATCCTCCTTTAGTCCATTTTACACATTACTTTCACTTTCATTTCACTTCAAAAACACCCGCACGCGCTCTGCTCTAAAGTCCTCTTCCGGATCTTGTGAACTCAATATAACTGATCTCTTACTACTGAATAAACACATGGATTTCCCCCAAACGCGTGAACAATAATGAGGCTGAAGTTGGAAGAGAAGGCCTCAAAAAGTCCAAGTCAAAGCAGCGCGTGCGGACCTCGCGGCGGGGTGCCCAGACGCAGATGAACTTTGTGTTTTTGTAGAGTTATTTAAACAACATCTAATTCTGCTCAAACAGAAAACCACTGAAGAAAAGAGACAATGAATTTAATACAGTCATTTAGATTCAGTTAATGACGCCACAGGGCCGCTGATCGCTAGCTTGGTATAATATCACTGCTGTATTTATGGAAATAGCATAAACAGTATTTTATTCTTGCTTCTTTATTCTGATAAAGTTATAGATGTTATTATTATTATTTATTTGTTTGTGTTATTATTCAGTTGTGCTCCTCGTGCTGCAGTAACTTCTGATGCAACACTGACATTTCCTGCTTTGGGACCAATGAAGGATCTGTTTATGTTTGAAAAAGACAGTTTGTATATTAGGTTTAATTCTCATTTTCATTTCTGACGCAGCAACGTGTTTGGGAGGCCTCTCTCTCTCTCTCTCTCTCTCTCTCTCTCTCTCTCTCTCTCTCTCTCTCTCTCTCTCTCTCTCTTTCTGTCTCTGCTCACTCTCTCTCTCTGGTTTCTCTCTCTGAGTGTTTCTCTCTCTCTCTCTGCCCCCTTTCTCTCTCTCTCTTTCTGTCTCTCTCTCCTCAGACATCCTTAACTCTCTCTCTCTCTCCTCAGACCATCTTTAACTCTCTCTCTCTCTTTCTCTCCTCAGACATCCTTAACTCTCTCTCTCTCTCTCTCTCTCCTCAGACATCCTTAACTCTCTCTCTCTCTCTCTCCACAGATCATCCTTAACTCTCTCTCTTCTTTCTCTCTCTCTCTCTCTCTCCTCAGACCATCCTTAACTCTCTCTCTCTCTTCTCAGACCATCCTTAACTCTCTCTCTCTCTCTCTCTCTCTCTCTCTCTCTCTCTGTATCTTCTCAGACATCCTTAACTCTCTCTCTCTCTCGCTCTCTCTCTCCTCAGACATCCTTAACTCTCTCTCTCTCTCTCTCTCTCTCCACAGATCATCCTTAACTCTCTCTCTCTTTCTCTCTCTCTCTCTCTCTCTCCTCAGACCATCCTTAACTCTCTCTCTCTCTCTCTCTCTCTCTCTCTCTCTCCTCAGACATCCTTAACTCTCTCTCTCTCTCTCTCTCCTCAGACATCCTTAACTCTCTCTCTCTCTCTCTCTCCTCAGACATCCTTAACTCTCTCTCTCTCTCTCTCTCCACAGATCATCCTTAATTCCATGCATAAGTACCAGCCTCGGATCCACATCGTCAAAGCGGACGAGAACAACGGCTTCGGCTCCAAGAACACGGCCTTCTGCACTCACGTGTTTCCAGAGACCGCTTTTATCGCCGTCACGTCCTACCAGAACCACAAGGTGAGTCTGTGCACCTGTACCTGTGTGTCTGTGTACCTGTGAGTCTGTACCTGTGAGTTTGTGCACCTGTGTGTCTGTACCTGTGTGTCTGTGTACCTGTGAGTCTGTACCTGTGTGTCTGTGTACCTGTGAGTCTGTACCTGTGAGTCTGTACCTCTGAGTTTGTACCTGTGAGTCTGTGCACCTGTACCTGTGTGTCTGTGTACCTGTGAGTCTGTACCTGTGAGTCTGTACCTCTGAGTTTGTACCTGTGAGTCTGTGCACCTGTACCTGTGTGTCTGTGTACCTGTGAGTCTGTACCTTTGCGTCTGTGCACCTGTATCTGTGAGTTTGTACATGTACTTGTGAGTCTGTACCTGTGTGTCTGTGTACCTGTGTGTCTGTGTACCTGTGCGCCTGTGTACCTGTATTCCTGTGTGTCTGTGTACTTGTGCGCCTGTGTACCTGTGTGTCTGTGTACCTGTGCACCTGTGTACCTGTGTGTCTGTGTACCTGTGTGCCTGTGTACCTGTGTGTCTGTGTACCTGTGCGCCTGTGTACCTGTGTGTCTGTGTACCTGTGCGCCTGTGTACCTGTGTGTCTGTGTACCTGTATGTCTGTGTACCTGTGTGTCTGTGTACCTGTGTGTCTGTGTACCTGTGCGCCTGTGTACCTGTGTGTCTGCGTACCTGTGTGTCCGTGTACCTGTGTGTCTGTGTACCTGTGTGTCTGTGTACCTGTGTGTCTGTGTACCTGTGTGTCTGTGTACCTGTGTGTCTGTGCGCCTGTGTGTCTGTGTACCTGTGTGTCTGTGTACCTGTGTGTCTGTGTACCTGTGCGCCTGTTTACCTGTGTGTCTGTGTACTTGTGTGTCTGTGTACCTGTGCGCCTGTGTGTCTGTGTACCTGTGTGTCTGTGTACCTGTGCGTCTGTGTACCTGTGTGTCTGTGTACCTGTGTGCCTGTGTACCTGTGTGTCTGTGTACCTGTGCGTCTGTGTACCTGTGTGTCTGTGTACCTGTGTGTCTGTGTACCTGTGTGTCTGTGTACCTGTGCGTCTGTGTACCTGTGTGTCTGTGTACCTGTGTGCCTGTGTACCTGTGTGTCTGTGTACCTGTGCGTCTGTGTACCTGTGCGCCTGTGTACCTGTGTGTCTGTGTACCTGTGTGTCTGTGTACCTGTGTGTCTGTGTTTGATAAAAGGATTTTAAGATAGAAAGTCAGATAAAAAGATACATAATAATGAAAGATGTCGTTTTGGGTCTGAAAGATGTCGTTTTGTTTCTGAAAGATGTCGTTTTGGGTCTGAAAGATGTCGTTTTGGTTCTGAAAGATGTCGTTTTGGTTCTGAAAGATGTCGTTTTGGTTCTGAAAGATGTAGTTTTGGGTCTGAAAGATGTCGTTTTGTTTCTGAAAGATGTCGTTTTGGTTCTGAAAGATGTCGTTTTGGTTCTGAAAGATGTAGTTTTGGGTCTGAAAGATGTCGTTTTGGTTCTGAAAGATGTAGTTTTGGGTCTGAAAGATGTAGTTTTGGTTCTGAAAGATGTAGTTTTGGTTCTGAAAGATGTAGTTTTGGGTCTGAAAGAGGCCTTGGTGAGAGACGCAGTGTAAACACGGTCTGTTTAACATCATGTGACCGTCAAGGCCTACATGCTCCGAGTTTGGGGAATATGGGAAAGGGGCGAAAACTCATAATATCCTCTGGACCAATCAGAAGCCGAGGCCTCTCTGGGAACAGGAAACACAAATGGCCCACATTCTGCAGAAACCATTCATTATTTTGGAGCTCGTTATTGGGGGCCAGCGTCGGACCCGCGCCTAATTATTGGGAGTTTCCAGACCTTTCCGAAAACACGCAATTGTGATTTTCCTGCACTATTGTCTATTCAGTCTCACATCTGTGGAAACTGAGGCTGTAGACCCAGGACTGAGGCTGTAGACCCAGGACTGAGGCTGTAGATCCAGGACTGAGGCTGTAGATCCAGGACTGAGGCTGTAGACCCAGGACTGAGGCTGTAGATCCAGGACTGAGGCTGTAGATCCAGGACTGAGGCTGTAGACCCAGGACTGAGGCAGTAGGTCCAGGACTGAGGCTGTAGACCCAGGACTGAGGCTGTAGACCCAGGGCTGAGGCTGTAGACCCAGGACTGAGGCCGTAGACCCAGGACTGAGGCTGTAGACCCAGGACTGAGGCTGTATAGAATTTCCTTGTAGAAAAACGGTAAATAGTTGGCAAATATGGTTCCAGGGATTTGCCGTTTTCTCAACATGGCATTACCGTTGCTAATTTTAACGGTTAAAGACTGTTTCACTGAATCACAGATGTCTTTGTGATTTCAGGATTTAACTTTGTTCCTGTTCATTCACTACAACAATAACAGCTTTATAATGGTAATGTTTTATTATTACACCATACGACTGTTTCTGTTTCTAAATAGTTTCATTGAACAAAAAACTACACAGTTTAATTTGTTTTACTTTAATGAACACAACTTTTCAATTATTTTTTTACATCTTCAGTTTATACAAGAAAGTAGTGGAATTCTTTACTTCTAAAACATGCTTAATGCAAAAGCATCATTCTGACTAAAGCAGGAGTTTATATGTGTAAGAGGTATCTTTTACTCTCATGGTTTATGTTCAATTACGGTAATAATACCATCAAATCTTTTATGGTTATTTATGGTATTGTAACGTTTTTTTGTAATCACATTATAATTGTGGTAATTAAACGCCACTGGATGTTTTTCAACCAATTTATTCTTCAATCTGCAAGTTTGAATTGTTTTTCAAAATAACATTTGTTTAATGTTGACATTTCATTGTAATTTAACAGAAATGTGTTACAGTGTGAGGTGTAGTGTGTGTGTGTTTTTATTGGTAAATTATGGATATTTTCGTGCGTTGTTGCCAGATCCTCTCAGTCTGAGGCTGTGATGAAGTGGGATTATATAAACTGGAAGATTCAAAAATCTCACACCGGGGATGTTATAAAGTCTGTTGGAAGTGTCAGCCAGAACACACAGACTCCAGTCCTGGTTTGAGAGTTAGCTTCCGAGTCCAACCTGGCAACCCACTCCCTGCCAGAGACCACTGTTTAAAGGAATAGTTCACCGTTTTTACATACTGACATATGTTCTTACCTTACCTTAGACTAGTTAATACGTACCTGTCTGGTCTTAGTCCGTGCGCTCTGTCATGCAAACGGAGCAAAAACGGGAGCACAAACGCAGCCTCCTCTGTATACTGTGTAGGACCAAAAGGTAGAAGCTAGAAGCTACCAAACTCTTCCAAGTGTTCCCTATTAAATGTATATAGTTACGTGACGTGTTACACTGCAAAGTATAGTAACACAGAAATGTAACAGTCGATTTTCTCAGCGGATAAAACGGGTACTATATTGTGAGGCGTAGTAATCTGAGGAGCGCTACGTCCGCGCACTAACTTCTCTCCGTACTACAAGTCACGCTGCTTCTATTGACGGAAGTGAGCGAGAGAGAAGTCTCCGGTAGAGGAACTTATACTTAACTACTTATAAAATATAAGAGATTTTCATAATAATAATAATAATAATAATAATAATAACAATGACATACATAGAAATAAACCACAAAGAATCAGAAAAAAGTCTTTATGAAAAACTTTATGAAAACCAAAGATTCACAGACACTGAGTTATTGCGGTTCCAAAACTCAAAGCCGTCAAATCGACTGCTCTGGGAGTTCTACAGTCAATCCAAAGTGTGTCAGGGACAGGACACCAAAGGACCAGTTGAACCTGTCCCGAGGGAAAAGAAGAACATCAAATAAAAAGGGAACCCAGGACTGAAAATCAAATGGAATTTAATAAAAATGAAAAACTGGACGGAGACGAACACAGAATCAGGGCGGGGCTAAAACCAACAGCACTGACAGGAAACTATAACAGATCAAATACAGTAAAAACCAAATATAGTGAAATAAAACCAGGTGAGAAGAACCAGGTGAGACTATCCCGGAGGTGTCGGGACCTTTGACCTTTGTGCACTTCCTGTTTAGATCACGCAGCTCAAGATCGAGAACAATCCGTTCGCAAAAGGATTCAGAGGAAGTGACGACATGGAGCTGCACCGCATGTCCAGGATGCAGAGGTACACACACATATACACTCACACATATATACACAAACACACACACACATATATACATGCACACACACACATATACACACACGCACTCACACACACACAAACATACACACACACATACATACACACGTATACATACATGTACATGGAGCTGCACCGCATGTCCAGGATGCAGAGGTACACACACTCTCATGTATACACACACAAATACACACACACACACAGATATATACACACACATATACACACACTCATGTATACACACACATACATGTACATGGAACTGCACCGCATGTCCAGGATGCAGAGGTACACACACACTCATGTATACACACACACACATACATACACATATACACACACGTACACACACAGACATACACATGTACATGGAGCTGCACCGCGTGTCCAGGATGCAGAGGTACACACATACACACACACACACACACACATACACACACACATATACACACAGATATATACACACACATATACACACACTCATGTATACACACATACATACACACACACACATACACATGTATACACACATACATACACACACACACAGACACACATATACACATGTACATGGAACTGCGCCGAATGTCCAGGATGCAGAGGTACACACACATATACACACACACACACACACACACACACACACACACACATATACACATGTACATAGAGCTGCACCAAATGTCCAGGAAGCAGAGGTAACACACACACACACTCACACACACGTATATACACATGTATACACACACACACACACACACACTATATATATCTGTTATATCTCTATTCTTTTTAATGCTGTGATTTTGTACGACTTTAATATGAGTTTATTTGTGTATGAACTGTGCTATACAAATAAACTGGCCTGTGTGTGTTTGTGTGTGTGTGTACATGTGTGTTCACCTGTGTTTGTGTCTGTGTGTGTTTACATGTGTGTTCACCTTTTTGTGTTTGTGTGTGTGTGTACATGTGTGTTCACCTGTGTGTGTGTGTGTGTGTGTGTGTGTGTGTGTTTACATGTGTGTTCACCTGTGTGTATGTGTGTGTGTTTACATGTGTTCACCTGTGTGTGTGTGTGTGTGTGTGTGTGTGTATATTTGTATGTATGAGTGCATGTGCGCCTGTGTGTGTGTATATAATTGTAAATGTGTGTGTGTGTGTGTGTGTGCACCCGTGTGTGTATATTTGTTTGTATGTGTGAGTGTATATTTGTATGTATGTGTGCGTTTGTGTATACTCGTAAGTGTGTGTGTATATATTTGCATGTGTGTGTGCGACAAAAACCAATCAAACGCAGCTCTTATGACGACACTACACAAACCTCTGACTAACAAGTTGTGCGTCCGTTTCGCGGTGACGTAAGTGTGTCTTGTGATGTCGTGCCAGTCCCTTTTGCTTAAATACTTTCATGGCTGATCTGGCGCCCGCTCAGTAAAATGGCCGCTCGAGGAGGCCCGAGCCGAACACCACCACGGCTATTATTCAGTCCAGATGATCCACAGCTGCACGACAAAAACACACACTTTCAAAGCAGAAAACACACACTTTTAAACCTAAAGTCCAGCCCTTCCCCCCAGACCGACACCACCAAACTCCAAAGTCACATCCACGGCTCGGCTCGGCTCGGGACGGCTATTTTCAGTCTCAGAGAAAGGACTTTGTAATTAAATGGTTCTAAACGGCGCTGGAAAAGCTGTCTGTGTTGCGTGTTTCAGACTTGGAGGTGGAGGGTCCCGACGACACCACGGTTCACTCTTTTTAGCCCGAACTCAAATGCACGGAGCTTGGTACAGATCCAAAACCACGCCATCCGTCTCAGATGTCACGGACCGGCCCGGCTCAGGTCTGCTCCTGGTTAAAACAGAGATCATTACTAAAAACATGTTCAATTTTAGCGAAAGGAAAAAAAGCAGCGACGTAAATTATTTATGGATGAATCCTCCGCAAGCTCCTGGTCCACACGAGACCGAGACCGAGACCACCCCCGAACAAGACCCGCGTCTAACAATTGAAGGATTAGTCTTGACTTTGATGTTTTCACCGACAGAAAAAACGGAGTCCAAAGAATGCACTTTCTGTTTGAGTTTTGGATTCAGATTCTACTGTCGTCATTATTCATGGACAAAGGTACAAGAAAAGTCCCTCCATGGTCTTGTACCAACGTATATATGTAACACGTTGGTGCAATGTCTGAGGAGCACAGGGACTGGTCTCCTGCTGGGACTCTGAGGAGCACAGGGACTGGCCTCCTGCTGGGACTCTGGGGAGCACAGGGACTGGCCTCCTGCTGGGACTCTGGGAAGCACAGGGACTGGCCTCCCGCTGGGACTCTGGGGAGCACAGGGACTGGCCTCCTGCTGGGACTCTGGGAAGCACAGGGACTGGCCTCCCGCTGGGACTCTGGGGAGCACAGGGACTCGCCTCCTGCTGGGACTCTGAGGAGCACAGGGACTGGCCTGCTGCTGGGACTCTGAGGAGCACAGGGACTGGCCTCCTGCTGGGACTCTGGGGAGCACAGGGACTGGCCTCCTGCTGGGACTCTGGGGAGCACAGGGACTGGCCTCCTGCTGGGACTCTGGGAAGCACAGGGACTGGCCTCCCGCTGGGACTCTGGGGAGCACAGGGACTGGCCTCCTGCTGGGACTCTGGGAAGCACAGGGACTGGCCTCCCGCTGGGACTCTGGGGAGCACAGGGACTCGCCTCCTGCTGGGACTCTGAGGAGCACAGGGACTGGCCTGCTGCTGGGACTCTGAGGAGCACAGGGACTGGCCTCCTGCTGGGACTCTGGGGAGCACAGGGACTGGCCTCCCGCTGGGACTCTGGGGAGCACAGGGACTGGCCTCCTGCTGGGACTCTGGGAAGCACAGGGACTGGCCTCCCGCTGGGACTCTGGGGAGCACAGGGACTCGCCTCCTGCTGGGACTCTGAGGAGCACAGGGACTGGCCTGCTGCTGGGACTCTGAGGAGCACAGGGACTGGCCTCCTGCTGGGACTCAGAGTCAGGACTAAACATGGAGAGGCAACTTTTCAGATTTTTTTAAACCTAGAACAGTCTTCCTCAAAATGTGAGTCAGGCTTCTCGTCTGACATCATTCAAACCCAGGTTAGGTTTACAACTGAAGGACTGTACCTTTACTCTTTTTAAAGGTACACTGTGTAGTTTTTATCCCGTTTAGCGTTTAAATCATATGTTGTAATTTCCAGTACTACATTAGCCTCGCAGAACGACATGTGGTCTTTGACCGTGGTCCCCAACCTTTTTGTCCCTTGTCAACCACTGTATTCCAAGATGGCGCATTAACACGTAGAGCCCTCCAGCCTCATGGACATAATTCAAATTCTGTAATAATAATAATAATAATAATACATTGGTTTTGGACTGACCCCTCCTTTAATCTCGGACTTCATTCTAATTTCCCTCCCGCCCCCTGCGCTGAGGTCTGAGGGCCAGGTCCAGCTCGTGGGACTGAGGACGAGACTTAAAACCCAGGGACAGGTCCTGAGTCTGGGTCTGGACCAAAGCCCTGGACTCTCTGCCCCATGTTTAAACTGCTTTTTTAAGTCTCGGCTTTTAACACTGTGTGAGTTCTATGGTCCTTTTATTTTATTCTATTTTTTATTTTCATTATTGTTATTTTTCTAGTTCTACATAAATGCACACTGTTTTTCATATATATTATTTTTAATGATTTTACTGTTTTACAATGGATTTGTTTTAATTAGTCTTTAATTGTGCAGCACTTTGGAAACCGTGTTTATCCAATGTGCCATACAATTAAAGTGGATTGGATTGGGTTTTATATCATGCTTTTCAAAGACGCTTAACAACAATTCAAAAACATGTTAGAGGTGAATATTCTTAAAAAGGTCACATTTGTTTGACACAGAGGAGCTTTAATGCCCTGTGATCACCGTTTTGTTCTTTCCTTGTGCTATACAGATAAACTTGCTCATAGTGTGTGTATCTGTGTGTGTTTGCAGCACTAAGGAGTATCCGGTCGTCCCCCGCAGCACGGTGCGTCCTCGGGTTGGTTCGAGCCAAAGTCCTTTCGGGGGCGAGATCCAGAGTCTGAGCTCCACCCCCATCAGCGGCCAGTACTCCCACTGCGACCGCGGCGTCTCCGGCTCCTCCCAGGACCTGCAGCCGGCCTCCTACCCACCTCCTCAGGACCACAGCCAGGAGTACCACTGCATCAAGAGGAAAGGTACGGGAAGCTTCTGTGTCTCCCTCAGGTTAAAGTGATTGTCTGGAGTTTGTCAGAAAAAAGAGAGAGAGGAACATGATTTGAAAAGAACGACCCAAGCTCCTCCCCCTTCCTCTCTGATTGGTCTTGAAGCTGCGCCACTTTTCCGTGCACGCGCCCGGTCAATGGGCCAAGACGTGCGGAGGAGAGAATATTAGTTTGAATGGGAAAGATAATACCCATTACAGCTTTGAATATTAAGGGATGTCTAATATTCGAATTTATATATTTAGTATTCGAATTACACTACCGTTCAAAAGTTTGGGGTCACCCAAGTGTTTTCCATGAAAAGTCACACTTATTCACCACCATACGTTGTGAAATGAATAGAAAATAGAGTCAAGACATTGACAAGGTTAGAAATAATGATTTGTATTTGAAATAAGATTTGTTTTACATCCAACTTTGCTTTCGTCAAATAATCCTCCATTTGCAGCAATTACAACATTGCACCAAAACCCAGACATTTGCAGCTAGAATAGTCATTTACCACATAAGAAATGTAAAGAGTGTATTTCTTTACAGTTAAGACTAGTTTAAAGTTATCTACAGTCCTTTTCCTTCAAAAATAAGGACATTTCAATGTGACCCCAAACTTTTGAACGGTAGTGTATATTTTAGCACAAGCTCTTGGTATGACTTGATTGGTTAAAGTGGACGACATCGTGGATTTTGAGCTATAGCTAAGAGAAGGGAAGGCGGGACTTACCCGTAATATTAGAATTCATAAAATGACTTATTTTATATCAACATTTAAGGCCAGCAGGTCAATTTAATACAATACTTCAAATTTGTAAATCATAGAGTTCCAGACTATCACTTTAAGGTATAGTTTAAGTAAGGGATAACGTACATTACGCAGGTCATTATCGGAAAATAAGTACCGACAGGGCGAAGGTACTTATTTTCCAATAATGACCTGCGTAATATATGTTATCCCGCTTATTATACGGCTTTATACCAACAGAACACACAACATAAACTTCAGTCCACTTTTAGGAATGCCGAAAGGTTTATTTAATGACAGAAAATAAAATAGTTCCCAAAAGTTTTTCCGTGGCTATGCTAGCAACAGTTAGGCTGGCAACTTTCAAACTAGAACTCTCTGGAACTGCATGAAAACTGAACAAAGAATTCTGAACAACAGCGGTGAGTGACCCATACATAAACCTAACCTAAATCCATAATTCAATCCTCTGCAAATGTGTCCGAAAATGTGCCGGTATCTTAAAATGTGCCGGTATCAACTTCCGGGTTTTTCGGGATCGCCTTTTCTCGCATCACATCAGTGTTTTTGTCATGAAAACGTAAACGGAAAATTCTGAAAACTTCCGTGCACTTGTATTAAGACTGGATATGTATAAATTACTCTCCGATTAACATTTCATTGCGTTGATTGATTGGCATTTGCGTTTATTGAGCGGCCGGAACTACTTCCGGGTTTTTCACGATCGCTTTTTGACGCAGAGAAATAGTATTTTTGTCATGAAGACAAGACCAGAAAATTCTGAAAATTTCCGTGCACGTGTGTGAAAAATGTATATGTATAAGTATTCTCCGATTAACATTTAAGTGTGTTGATTGAGCGTGGCTAGCTCCGGAGTGGCCGGAACTACTTGCGGAGTTATCCACGCATTTGAAAGACAAGCAGAGAGTGCGTTGCCATGGGCAGCGGTCATTATTGTTTTGAGAGGTCCGTTATAGAAAATAATGACCGGTAGAACGTTTTGTATGATAATAAAGAAGCAAGTATAAAATCTCTAACTTGTGCATAGATGCAAAACATATTTATGGAACAAAATGTGTTTTTTTCCCAGTGGAGGACGACTGTCGTTCTGGGGAACACTCGTATAAGAAGTCTTACCTGGAGAGCTCGTCGAGTGAAGACGACCATTACTACCGCCCGCTCGGCTACTCCCAGAGCCTGGGCTTGGCGGGGGGTCCCTACCGCAGCGAGAGCAGCCAACGCCAGGCCTGTATGTACGCGGGGGCTCCTCAGGGGGGGTCCGAACCGGTGCCCAGCCTGGAGGACATCAGCTGCAACACGTGGGCGAGCGTGTCCCCCTACGGCAGCTGCTCCGTCACCACCATGCAGCCCATGGAGCGGCTCCCCTACCAGCACTTCTCGGCCCACTTCACCTCGGGGTCCCTGGTGTCCCGGCTCGGAGCGGTGGGGGGCCACGGCTCTCCGCAGCTGGGGGACGGCCACCACGCAGCCATGTACCAGAGCCCCATGCACCATCAGACTCTGGCCCGACAGTGCAGCCCCGGAGCCGGGATCCAGTCGCCCACCGGGAGCCTCCAGGGGAACGAGTACCTGTACCCCCCCCACAGCCTCCCGCGCACGCTCTCTCCGCACCAGTACCACGCCGTGCACAGCGTTAGCATCCTGCCAGAGTGGAGCGACAACAGCTAAATAGACACGTGCAAGAACTCAGCTTTGCATCAAGATTTACTCACGTGTTTCTGCTGCAACATCTGCACTTAAATGGACTGAAGACGTGGAAAGAGGACGTTTAGAGCTGATCCACTGAGATCAGAAATGAAGGACCAAGTTTCTCAAAGAATAAAGATGCCGATTCAGTTTGTTCGCTATTTGCAGTAAAACCACATTGGAATAGGTTTGTAAAAGTCCCCAGCGTGCACCAGACAAGCTCAAAAGTAAAACAAGGTCAAAAAAGTACTACAACTGTTTCATTTCAAGTGAAAGTTCATTAAAGTGCTTTGTTCAGACTGATCACAAGTTGTGGATAGAAGCTGTTAGCATGTTAGCATGTTAGCATATCCGGATGTCCTGCAGCCAACGATATCTTCTGCCGAAGGGAAGAAGCTGGAACATGGCTTTTCCAGGAGCCAGAAGAGTCACTGATTCTTCCAAGAGCTGGGTTTAAGTGTTCTCAATGTTTTGAGGCTGCTGCAGAGTTAATAAATGACAAAAGGCCCATATTTCAAAAGTCAAATGATGATGTATCGTTGGTTTTTGGTTGTGTAGTTTTCTTCCTTTGTAGTCTGCAAAGAAAACGCTGTTAGTTGAAAATAGAAATGTAGTTTGTTGTTCTTTTCCATCGTTCAGAGGTTTCTCGGCATCATCTCGAGGTCGTTCAAAAGGGTTAGTTCTTTCTGTGAAACTCGTAGGATTCATGAATATTGTTTTGTCGATAGTATTTATTTTTCAAAGGTGTAAAAAGGAGGTTTGTTGCTCGTTGGAAATAATCTTTTTTCACAACAGCATCACTCCTCGAGAACACGGGAAAATAAAACCAGCTCAAACTGCATCTAGAAAACTCTGTATTGTAAATAAACCTGTACAAATCTGATATCCTGCTACAATAAATGTAAAGATTTGACGATGTGTGAATCTGCTTCTGAGGAGGACCATAAAAACCTGTGCCTGGTCTCGGTCCAGTCTGTCTGTAGCAACAAAAAAATACTGAGGTTTTATACATTATTTCTGGACAAAGACACTGCATTGTTCACTATAAACACAGTGGTGATTAAGTACTACTAAAGCCACAGCTGCCCTGGGGCACACTGACAGAAGCCCCTCCCACCACCACCAACCATTCACACACACACACCAGACTCATTCTAATGTGGGGTAAGTGTCTTGCCCCACTGGATCTGGCCTAATCGTGCAAGTGCCCCCAGACCTGTTAAAGACCGTACCTAACTGTATTTATTATGGAAAATGTGATATTAATAGTTCAAGCCGCAGGCGGGGTCGAATAGCATTTGATTTTCTAATGAATATGACGTAGATGTCTCTGTTGAAAAAGATGGAACCTGTCATGCGTTTCCATGGCAACAGTGAAAAACACAAAATGGTCCCATCGACATCGTTGATTGGTCCAATGAAAATTCAGAGATTCATTTGGGCAGTTCCCATTTAACGAACTATTTAGCTTTGTATGAAAATAGGAAATCTCTGTGTTTTTATAAAATAATTCTCCCAAAAATGCATCTGTTTTATTATAAACTCCCTCTGTATTAGTGCTGCAGACAAAGCTGCCCTGGGACAGGCCAACACAGCATGGCCACTAATCCCTGAGGTCTCCCATCACAGCACTAACCGAGCCATGTTCTGCTTAGCTCCCAAGAAAATGTAGTTTTGTGACACGACAGCGTCCTCAGCCGCACCAGGGATTCTGCGTCAGTGTCGAAAAAGACAAACACACATTTTCCATCAGCCTCAAAATGCACCAAATGTTTATGAACTAGACGTTCCACAGACTCTCGTTCATACCAGGGGCGTCCAGACTTATAGTAAGAGGTCTTCAGACTGGTCCAGGGACCACAGATTTAAAACTATTAGACTGGATCTTGATCTTTAAAATGCTATGCTAACAGAAGTGAGGTTTACTAGCATGAACGAGCTCACCACAACTACGTTAGCGACGTTAGATACTTTATAAATCCTGTGTCCGCTAAAACACATCCATCCAAACAAACAAATAAATAAATAGATCATTATAGAAGAATCTAATAATAATATTATAATCCAACAGTCCTTCACAGCAGCAGAAGTGGAGCCGCGTTCAGACCATTTTCTCTGGTCCAAAGACTCATGGTCTGGACCAGTGTAAAACCATGAATCCTCTCTGCTCTGGTCTGGACCAGTGTAAAACTATGAATCCTCTCTGCTCTGGTCTGGACCAGTGTAAAACTATGAATCCTCTCTGCTCTGGTCTGGACCAGTGTAAAACTATGAATCCTCTCTGCTCTGGTCTGGACCAGTGTAAAACCATGAACACTGAACTGCAGCAACATCTCAGGCAGAAAAAAGAAATAAAAACAAAAATTGTGAAACACAAAACAAACAGTTTCAGAGACACTCAGGACTCGCTGCAGTTTCAGAACATTCTAAAGTAAACCGTTAGCGTCATTAGCAATAGTTTGGAGTCACCGTCAAAAGCAAATGTCTAAACTCGAAATTATGCTTTCGTTGTTGAAATGACACATGAGCAGAGAACAATACCAAAAACCCCCCAAAAAAATACAAAAATTATAAACTAGTATCATGTTAAAAACACGTGTCCTCAGATCATTACGAGGGTTAACTATGTCAGAGCTGAAGAATAGGCGTGTGCTCGGAGCAGAGGGCCACGCAGGAGGACAAACAGGGCCGCATGTGGCTCGGGGGCCGGAGGTTGGACAGACCTGTTCAAAGACCCGTCACAACATAACTTTAAATAGTTTTGTGTTTTCAGTGAGAAGATAAAACAGGAAGCAGATTTTAATAATGTAACCAACGGTAATGAAGAGATTTTAATGAATGTTGTAGCACAGTTCAAACACACAGAAACTCAAAGTGCTGAACAAAACATCATAGAAACACCCAAACAAGGCTTAAAATTACATAAAAAATCACAGTGGTAAACCTGGACTGTGTCAGAGAAGAAGTCTGTCTGACATTTTCAGGAAGACTGCTGCAGATTTTAGCATAAATGTTTAGTCCTTTAAGTTTCTTCAACCATTTCCTGGATCATGTTTTGAGTCACTTTATCAACTTTTCCGCCAAACTGCATCTAATCCATTTGGTAAAAGACAATCATTAAAAAACTAAAGGTATTGAAATTAAAATAAAAACCTACCAATGAATAAGTAGTCTTATTAGTGCGTATGTTAGAGAATCAAACTAGGAAAACATTAAGATTAAGACATTCGTCCCACAGTGGGGAGAATGGCATTGCTTTAGGAGTGAATATTAAAGGGTTTGTCCTGATTTTTAAAAGTTGTGGATTTGCCCAAAACAGATCAGAAAATCAAACTGTTCAAACAAAGGAAATGCAAAAACAACAAACACAGAGACAATGGTCCAAAGAGAGAGGAACGGCCACGGTTCATATAAACGCTTAGACGTCCCAGATTCAGATTCATTCATCTGTTATTTGCAGTAAAACCACAGTGGAATACATTTTTAAAAGTTCCCAGTGCACCAGACAAGTACAGACAAAAAACATTAAAAGTACTAAACAATTGTCACTGTGAAATCGACTAAAAACAGTTTCAATACAAAGGTAAGATCATTAAAGTGCTCTGTTCAAAGTGATTACAGCTGTTAGCATGTTAGCATGTTAGCATGTCCTGAATCTCAGAGAACAATATCTTCTGCCAGAGGGAAGAAGCTGGAACATGGCTTTTTCAGGGTCCCTCTCTGATCTCTCTCTGGTCTCTCTCTGGTCTCTCTCTCTGATCTCTTTCTGGTCTCTCTCTCTGGTCTCTCTCTGGTCTCTCTCTGGTCTCTCTCTGGTCTCTCTCTGGTCTCTCTCTCTGGTCTCTCTCTGGTCTCTCTCTGGTCTCTCTCTGGTCTCTCTCTGGTCTCTCTCTCTGATCTCTCTCTGGTCTCTCTCTGGTCTCTCTCTCTGGTCTCTCTCTGGTCTCTCTCTCTGGTCTCTCTCTGGTCTCTCTCTGGTCTCTCTTCTTTCTTTGTCTGTGATGTCCCCAAACCACACAGTCACAGAACCAACAAACAAACTTTCAATGGTGCAGTGATAAGCAGAATCTTAGAGTTAGAGGTAAATTCTCTACGTTTTTGCAGAAAGTAGAGACGCTGACGAGCTCACCCTTTCCCTTTATAATAATGCATTAGTTGCCCCCCCCCCCCTGTGTTCGTCGACCCATCTGACTGCGGCTCCTTTGATGTGAGTATGTGACCCCTGTGCTCCGATGCCCCGACACCGCCAGCCTTATCCTGTGAGCGGACCGGCCCCGTCCTGGCCCCGTCCTGGCCCCGTCCCGGCCCTGCAGAGAGAGAGAGGGGCAGTCATTAACCCTGTCCAACCTCCGCCTCCCTCCATCCTCGGCTTAAACACATGATGTATCACAACACCCCCCACTCACCCAAACATGTGCGGGTGGGCGAGGGCCGCTGGTGCTACGGGCCCCTCAGCACAGGGACCGGGTCAGACCCTCAAAGCCACGCGCTGGAGCCTTTATCACCGCGGAAGATGAAAGTCTTGTGATATGTCTGGGGCAGAATGGATGGGTTTGTAACGAGCGGAGCGTCCACATGAACGATGGAGCGACCGAGGGCTCTCTGCTCGTTTGTTTGGATCAAGATGAAGAACTCCACTCAGACATATTTGTTTTATTTTAATACAAATACAAGTACAGATGATGGGTGAGAAACCTTCCTTTGCTTTGATTTTAATACAAAGTTACATCACTGCAAATAGTGTTGGAAATGAACCCTTTGATGGTTACTCATGCTTTTTGAGGTCTCCCTGAAGCTTGAAACTGAAATCTGGTAAAAGTTAGTTATTTGAAAACCTGCACAACACAAGAATGATCAATTATCACATGTCACAAGTTTTGAAAAAGGGAGTTGGGGGAAACCAGTGTTGTCCGGGTCCCGGGTCCAAACTGTCCAAAATTGCGTGCCCTGACATTCTGCAGTACCACCCCGGGCCTGTGGAG